GTCAAATTATTTTTCATCTCCGCAGTGAAATGAAAATTCTTCATCCGGCTTTAAAATTGAATTTCATTATTTATTATTCACAATAATAATTCAACGAGGTAGATGCACCTCGAATTCGACAGACCATTTATTTTTTTCCGTCTGAAGTATCTCGTGAGTCCCCGGGGCCCCATTTGCTCCGCAGATGTGCGTTTTCTCTCGTATTATTTTTTTCTCTCATTTCTATCCTTTTTCTCCTCTCATTCAGCCGTCTCGACCTCTTCTTTATACCTGAAAATGTTAGTGACCAGGTCGTCGGGGGGCCTCGTGGCCGTGAAAGTTCCTGCTCGGGGGGTTTTTACCTTCAGAAAACGCAAACGCGTCCAGACATACCTCACGATCCACCTTTTGTATGTAACAAATGTTGAGGCACTCATGGGGTAATTTGCCCTGTGGACGTTGATTTAAAGAGGAGGTATGGTTTTATTGGAGTTACCCAAGAACTTTGCGAAATTTCTCACAATTCTTTATTCCATTCCATCATGGACGTCGTATTATCTAAGCCTCGACTGAACGTTACATTAAAGTCCATGAAAATTTAAAAAAAAACACTAATTATCAATTGCATTCACCATTTTTCTGACTATGGAAATCCGCAGTTGTCCAGGAGAATAATTTTTTTAATTGATAAATTGATTATTCCTCTAAAGATATTGTTCAATAATTTTTCGGGATTTTCCATGGGCTAGTGAGTTGGTCATTGACATTTGTAATTAATAATTTTAATTAGATTAGCAGAGATGAGATATTCGAGAATATGGATGAAAATGAAGGTCTTTGTTATTGAATTGAAATAAATGATAGGTCAAGCGTGGAACTCGAGGCTTAGATAATACCCTAACGTCTGGGTGCAATCGAGTCCCTGACGAGCCCATCGTCGTGCCCTAACGCGCACTCGTGGAGACACTTCCTCCAGCTGGAGACCTTTCAAGGGGACTCGAGTAAGACACCAGAGTGGTCGCCACGTTGTCGACCCTGTTGTCGAGTCAACCATGAAGACATTCAGTGCTGAATTATGCCTGTATTATCCACGTACATCCCGAAAGCCCTTGGCAAGGTCCTCCAAAAAAATCCAAACAAACGAGAAAAAAATCTCATTTTTATCCCCCACATCATCGGCCATATCTCAAAAACCCAACATCTCAGACCAAAGTGTCATTAGACTTTCCTCTGAAGCCCTAAATTTCCGACGTAAAATCTCTTTTCACATTTTCCTCTAACACCCACCGCAATCCAGGTACAACCTGAATTATAAAATTGTTCTCCAGTAATCAGTAATTTTTGCGACTACATCACTAGCTCTCGCCTCTTGACATATTCCGAGAACGAGCGGTACCCGAAGAAAATGTCATTAGACTTTTTGCTAGATCATTAAATTTACAATAAAAAACGTTTATTGATATTTTTTCCTAGAACCAATAGTTCACCGGTTAAACGGTAAATTCGGCGGTTATCGTCCTGCAATTTAATTTGAAAAAAAAAATCGCCTGGGGGAATGGGTACGGAAGAGGTACGGATGGGACAATGAAAAGTGAACAAAGTGAAAATAAATCGCGAGACATGAGCCAACACTCGCGGTTCTCGTTTTCACGAGTGCGCCAATTAGAGCGGTGCTGCATCGATCGGAGAAAACCGTTGAACGCATTAGCGACGGACGGTTAAACTTCCAAGCGCATTTGCGAAATGTACGTATGTCGTACATGTGTATTGCCCAACCGGCCATAGATCCATCGATAAAATTTTTGCATAAATTTGAAAAGACACGACCCCCCGGAACTCATATTTACGAAGGGAAATTCGTTTTAGAAATTCTAATATCCCGAGAACAACAGGTTGCACGATAGGATCTGAATAATCACGTAAAACCCTCAACCACATGTTCTCCATCCGTTTTACCCCGTCGTATTAACGGTCCAAATGAAATATTTGAATGATCCGGTGGTAACAGATGATTATTTTTCACTTTTCAAGTTGAGAGAAAGATTTTTTTATTCTCTTGTTCATGCAATTTCTCATGTTGTTCAATTATTTAAGTAAAAAATGATCAATGACGTCAGGGTTTGAAGGTCGGTGTAGGGATTCCGTTGAATCAACCGCAAGTCAATTTCGCCGAGATAATAATTCCATCATCGTATTCCCACCGAGTGCAATAAAAAAAATGCCATGATAAAAAAAGTACCCGGAGACAATTGAATCGGGGGAACGGTATTTGTTGAGAAGAAAAAGCAATTAACCACTGGCTTGGACATGAAATAATAACATCAAGGTCTGAATCCAAGTGTTGTCCTCAGTGGATTTAATGCTATGCTAAATCAAACGGGAAACTCTCATCAGATGGTTGTATCTACTTGGGCTTACTTGGAAGTTGCTTGAATGTTGTTTGATAAGACACTGAAACACTCCTGAGTTTATTCTGTAATCGCGCCTGATTGTATTCGGCAAACACTCTCTAATCGAAGAAATAGAACGGTGAAACTTTGAAAAATATTCACATCTTGTTCTAGTTTTTTTCAGAATATCTTAGAATTTATGGGGAATACAAAAAATATATATGAGAAATCATTTGTAGAGAATTTCAAGAGCTATAAGAAAGATTTTTCTGAAATTTTTCCGTCTTGCTCAGGTAACGAGATAATTAGCGAGAACGGAGCCTTAAAAATTTATTTCTGCGGAATTTTTAATGATACGTCAATATCTCGAGAGATATGGAGATCATGAAAAAACTTGTAGGAACTTTTTTGTAGTCTGGAATGAGTACTAAAAAAAGTGTTTCACAACTTTTTCGATATCTCTCATAGATCCTGAAATAAATGAGGTATTATCGACTATGATAAATTCACTCGTGCACTGATAGAGAACTATAGGTGAGACGTAATTTTCATCTGTCACGCCGCGATGCGTGCGATAATCGACTCGTGGCCTAAATAAAGTCCAAGTGTTTCAATTTCTCGTGCGTAAACTACACTCTTGTCACATGAATGTACATTTCTGTTGGCATCATACCCATACTGCATTAATTGATTCTAATTCGATAACCTTCTTCTGAGAGAACGGTTATCAGTGATAATGGACCGGTCGTCGTAAACAGGTTGTATGCGTTTGCATGACCCCAAAAAAATAAGAGATCAATAGAAAATTAAGCTCAATATGCCAAGCTAATATTGAGAATTTCTTCTCAATTCCTCAACTCCACAACTTTCGAAAATTCAAACAATGAATTGCATCCAATCAGAAGACAGGTGTTGAAAATACGAGTGCTATTAAGCCAACAGCTGTTGACTATCGATGACCCACAACGCGAAAAACAAGAGTTTGCCAAATTTTCAAGATTTAATGCATCTGCCATAGACAACGCTCTCAGCATAATCTGGCAGATGGAAGGCTAGTGGGCACCTGCCGACCTGTTGAAGTGTGAAAAAAAAAGAAAATCTCAACGAGAGAAGCGGAAGGAAAAAAAAGAATATCTTCTCTCTCCACCTGCTGATGCCAGGTGCCAACGAATCGTGGAATTCACTGGTATAAAATTCGAAGAAAAAGCGGTAGAAATCGCAATATAAATAAATATTCTCCAATCCGTTTGTTCTCATCGGAGTAACAGCGATCAGTTCCTCTGCTCTCATTTCCTGGATTCAGTCATCTTGAGGATGATGAGTTCCAAGAAGCTCCTTCAGTCATCGATTCCCTCATTGTTCACGGGAAACAAGAGAGAGCCTTGAATTAATTAATGAGGCATCATCTCGCCTATCACTACCCATCCTCACCTTACTCAGCGAAGAATACCTTCACTCCGAATGGATTGACCCCAAAAAACAATGGACAAATATGGAAATATCGAGTCGATGTCATTAAAAACCAAACTCCTCCAATCAACGAACCACAAGTCCTAAAAATTGAGTGACTCGTCGTTCATCATTGATTTAGAGACAGAACTGAACAGATCGAAAGTTGGATACTAAATCTAACGGTTCTCACATGCCACTCCTGACCCTAACGTCTAGACTCGCTCATTAACGTTCATTACCACGAAAATAGATCATTTCGGCAAATACCAATTCCTCAAGACTTGACAAATGTCAGTGGCTCCCTTGAACTATCAATAACTGCCGACCCAATTATCCGATTTCCACCCGTCAAATCTCAGTCCGAGGACCTAAATAAACTCTCGAGGATGAGTTAAACTCCTCGAAATTGATGCAGCTGATCTCGATCCATCCGCAAATGAAGATCATCAATTCTACTGTCTCTCCTGGAAAAGCTAAAAAAATGAATCACATTAAATCATCAATATCTCCTGACCCAATGATCCAATTTTCACGAGTCAAAAACGAGTTTTCACCCCTGAAGATATACCTTCAAAATGAAGAAAAAATCATCAAACTCCACTCAGCCGATCTCGAGCTATCGACGATTAATGGTTTCCAATACGTTGTTTTCACGAATTATCTGCTCTAGAAAGCGTTTATCTCCCGATAAAGTACCCAAAGAAAAACTGCGCAACGATAACGGAAAATAGTATCGATCGTCTGTCAGTCGTTCCATGTCATCAACAAAATGAGAAGCTATCCGACAGTTCGAGAAATAATCGGTGAATGCTTGGGATTGAACAAGAGAAAGGTTCCAAGCCATTCAATCAAATAAAACAATTATTCCCAATCCGTCCAATAATTACCCCATAATTATCCAGTGATGAGACCTTGACAGACAATATTATCTCGTAAACTATTTCTCATAATGACATACCTTTAACTACTTAGTGCACTGAAGTTGAATTAATGTGAACAAGTGTCTTGAGTTCCAAAACAATTATCGTGCGTCCCATTGTTTCGGAACAGGGTGGGATGTTTTACTCTAAACCAAGAGACAATAGCAGGGCAGACTCTTGAATTTAATCTTGCAGTGTTCATCAGTTGTCCTGATCAATAATCTAATAATAATATTCTTCTATCTGGTAATAATTTCAGAGTCCTGGAACGCTGCACAAGGATGTCAATGGCGGTGGGACTAAGGTCAGTGGAAAACCAGTTGGTGGTGTGGGATCAGCTACCCTGACTGCGCTGTCATCCATCAGCACGACCAATGGAAACAGGAGTAAAAATCCAGCATCGCACGAGGTAAGCAAGTGAACATTATTATTGAAAGTGTGCACTTAGCATCCATTGCAAATAAACCATCTGTCGGAGGTCCTTGAGGTTATTACTCCCTCAATTAACCGAGATTGCTAGTTGCTGTTGCCTTGAGTCTACTCGGTTATTTCGTATACCTTCATTTTGGATTCACCAAACAATTGTTAACGCTTCGATTGGATTGATCTTTGTCCCGTCGAATATTCGTTAATAATCGGTGGTGTATCTCTAACCACACCTCAGTATTAATTCAACTTGTTGTATATTTACAACGTACATTTTACGTAACTATCACCCACTGATACCTCGAGCCATCACGAAGACTCATGGGGAATGTATGTCAGATCGATCATGAGAATTTTCAAGGAGATGACTTACGTTCACGTAACCTCGTATGTCCATTATTCATTTTATTCAATCGACATCCGGAAAAAATTCGTTGCGGAAATGATTTTATCGGTAAATCAGTGGAGAAAATGGTGAATGAATTTTCTTGTAAGAGATCAATTCTTCGATCTCTGGGAAAACATTTGAATTCTCAAGTGAATTCGTCACTCACTAGTTTCAATCAATTTTATCCCCATTTTCTATGAATACTTTTGAAGGATTTTATATTGTGTTTCTCGGGAATTTTCGGCTCTTGTGATTTATTCGGTGGAAAAACAGTCGGCAATGTTGAGAATTATGACGTACGATGCTCAACGATCCGTTAACGCGACTATGACTCGCTCTTTATTTCTACGTCTTGCAACTAACGCTGACTAATTCATACGTGAATTTAGAAAGTACCAGAAGTCAAATTGAAAACAGAGAGACTTCAGTGCATCGGTAAATGGTATGAGTGGTACTGTAATTCCTAATTGTGCGTCTTGTGTAACGAATACCTTTGCAGCTGCGTGAGATATTTTCTCATGTTTCATTACGATTCAGTTTTTTAAATTCATTTTTCATCTGAATGGATCATTAATATTTTTTTTTTCAATGGATTGGAGTTTGTCGGATTGAATTGAGATGGAATCAGGTCGCTCTTGTCAGCGGTATCTCGATCGTGTTGAGATAATTGTCACGATAAATCGTATCACCGGTTCTTTTTTTTTTTATTGAATTTTGATTTTGGGTTATCGCTCCGGAAATCTCGTGTAGATTTATGAAGGGATTTGGTAATCGTTTTGGGGACAAGTGAGTTTGAAATAATATCGGTTGGATTTTATTTTCTCATCAATTCGTCATTATCTTCATTATCTTTATTTTTCAATTGTGCATGCAGTGCAGCACGAATTTACAGCCTGTGACGCAGTTGCATAATTATAACGACCCTTTCGGTACGATAAATCGATTGTTCGATGTCATCAACATCGAATAATTATAATTGCTATTCCACCGAGTAATCCGAGTACTCCGCATTGTCTCACGTGTCATTTTTCCATCAATCGTCATGCGCTAGTCCTCACTTTCCGATTAATTATTCCAGTTGGATAATTATTCTTCTAATTCTCCTGCGAGTGCAGAACGAGAAATTCAAATCTGTCGAATTCTTTCATTAATCGATCAATCACATTTTCGAAGTTAGATCGAAGTTAGATTTCTTCTCATTTCTTCTCATTTCTTCTCATTTTTTGTATTATCATTATTTTCATTAATATCCTTTGATATTTTCGGGGAATTGAGATAGATGTATTAAACATTTTTGGGTTGTTGAGAATTTTAGATTAACTTCAAGTGGTTTTCAAACTCGACTCGTTGAAATCAGATAGTGAATAAATCGAAACGATTCAGTTAACTATTCGCTGAGGGAATAAATTTCGCAAAACCTCGACTATTTGTTGATTAAAGAGAAATTAAATCCGCAATACTGTTGAAAATTGTGGTCATTGCTCTGTTTAATTATACAACGGTTGGAGAGCGCAAGGCCACAGTTGTATGTCATCGACCGGGCTAAATTCACGGGTTTATTCACCTAGAGCAATGAATCAGTAAAGACATCTCCAAATAAATGATGATTATTCATTGATAGTTCTGGATTAATTCCCCGTCTATTACACGTATCAGACTACACACAGAGAGAAATTTCCATAAAAAATGCATACGGAAATCGCGCGAAAAATGACCGGACTGTCCAGTAAATTTGAAGTATTGCGACCTGACCCCAAATATTAATTTTCAGTCCAGTAAAATTTCCTAGCTCTGATCTCCGTTTATTTATTGGGTACAATGGGCCCACACGGGGACCCAATCGTATCCTGTCCGATCGACGGAAATTCCCGAGGGCTGACGGTATTGAACGAAGTGTGGCATCAGTCACTGAAAAATTAATGACCAGTCCAGTAAAATTTCCACTGCTTCCACGAATATTTCACTATCTCACCAGTACATTCGGAATAACTAAATGACATTCGGAATAACTAAATGAACACCCGAGAACATTGGTAATGCCAGTAGTAAATTTAATCGGTTTGCGTTGTAAATATTCCGCGCAACTCGAGTGATTTTTTAATGGATTACACATAAATTATTATCAATACAGTGGATTATGCCAATTGGTAAGAGACTGGTAAATTTTTTGTGGATATTTCTCTCCGCGTGATATTATAGATTAATTCAGAACTGATCAATTAGTGGTCATCAAGGAAGGGTCTTGGACAGTCCAGGGGTCATCGTGACACTTTGATGTACAGCTCTGATGCTGGCATATGTGTTTCCCACCACTTTGAATTTACCGTTAGGGATATAATAGGGAACGACGACGTATATTGCACATATCGTATATACAACGCGTTGTATTCCATCCAAGTGCCTATTCCATGCATTCCTGGATCTAATGGGTGGTGAGGTTTGTTCGATAATACATCAAATACCTAGCTGCATTCAATACTAGCTAATCGATAATTAGGAGGGGATAATTTGTACCGATGCGTACAATTTTCAACAAGCAGGTACTGAAATAATGAAAGATTAACACTTGAGTCGAGTCGAATGCGAATTTTTATCCTCGAGTTCGCACGGAAATTTATACAATTTTCTTCAGAATCCGATATATTCTCTGACTTTCGATAGAATTCATCATGAATTCGGAGAAAGTTTATCGCATTTGCATCGAGTGCGTATCATCCTCACTTTCTTTCGATTTCGTATCGAGATGAATATGAATTGATGGCGATTATTTCGTGATTAAAAATTTGGAATTGACGGGTCGAAAATTCTTCTTTCTCCGTTTTTTTTTTTCACTGGAAATTGGATAATTCGTACGCGGTCAATGTCCTATCGATCGTTTTTTACGGCTTTTCGGAGTAATCTCGAATGTGATCTACAAATTATTTACAATCGGTGGCAGATCTGGTCGGAAAATAAATCCAACGAGAACAACTATGAAATTTCAATGGAAATATCTCGAGATCGGTGGAGCGGATTTTTTCCATTTTTTTACCATTTTGGAGATATTTTTTCGAATTTTGAAATGAATTTCGATTCACTCAAATCGCATCCTTTGGTCAGAAGATATTGATGATTAAATGGGATAATTTTTATTTCAATGACCCAAAAAATTGGAACTTATTATCTCCTCCGGTGACATTGAGTCGCATTAATTGCAGCATTGACCGAGCCCCCTATCCTGAATCATCAACGAACTCATACCTATCATTAAAAAAAAACTCTGATAATTGAAATAATTCTCCTCACACACTTTAAATGCTAATTCAGCAAAAACCCCGAGTTGTCGCTCGTAACCGGTTTCTTTATCGCACGGTAGGTTATTACCCCTCCACAAAAAAACCAATTTCTATTTATATCATATCATCGTAAGTCCCCCTAAGCCCTTGCATAATAAAAAAAAAACGTGGGAAATTCATCCCCCGGACGGAAATATTAAATATCTGGGCCTCACCGACTAGGGCGTCGACTATTTCGATATAATTAACCGTCCTGTGCCCTAAATTAAAATTTCCATTTTCATTCCATCGGTGAGTGTTTTTTCTTTTGGGTCTCACTCAATGACCCGAAACGCACACACCGGAAATGAGTTCTATATTTTCGAATCGCTTAATTTAACGGCCGATTAACGCAACCATTTCCCACTTTTTCCCCCCCATTGTAATGTTTTCATCGCCAATATCTATTGACTCAACGAGGCGATTAAAACGAGTGAGTGATGATTTCAAAGGTATTTCCGATTTCTTCAAAATGATTTTTTAAAATCGAAATTCCCCTCAGCCAATCCCAAGATATCTTCCATTGAAGACCCTCTGTTATGATGCAAAATCGTATTGTTTGCTTTTTCGCGTCAGTTATTAGTTTTATTAATTGTTTTTTTTTCCTGTGTTGGAAAACACTCGGCTTCCGTCACTATCTTCCACGTGATTTCCGGTTGTCCCGACACATATCTCCATATATTGAGGCATGACTCCTGCATACGAATGACCCCAACTGAAACTATGAAACAAACGGATGGAAACGTGGCAGCATGAATGCTAAGAATTGTATATTATTTGAGTTTTTTATTCTTCCACGTATCCTCTCACGACACTATTTGCCCAACTGTTTTATTATTCCACCACCCACCGAAAATCCATTGAAATTCATATCTAATCCGTACAGATCAGAATCAATATTACCATACACTAAATGGTATATAAATAGAAAATCTTCATTTATCAAAATGATCTCCTCTTTTTTTCGATACACAATTTTCGTCTAGTTATACCAGAGCTTTTGAGTACTCTGAGTACTTCGTTTTTTCATTACCTCGAATTCTCATTGCATTCTCTGGATTCGGTCCAAGTCGACTCGGGACAGACAAAGAAAATCCCAAGGAAAAATCTAGGCGGTGGTGGAAAAACACCCGGTCGAGGCAAATCACACGTCAATCGCTTCTTTGTCTGTATTTCACCTCCAGTTCTAAATTTTCACATATTCGTGTTGGAATGCTGAGATACCAAATCCAGTCACGGACACGTGTACTCAGTGCACGTGTGGATATGTATCCGGTTCGAGTGAATTTCAATATTCAACTGAAAAAAAACAATTGGCAAATTGAATTTTTACCATGCCATTCGGCAAGTTCACACGCTCTAAAATTCTTTTTGGAGTATTTTGCAAGTGGATTTGTACTGAATGTTTATTTGGCAGACGTGACGTTTCTATCGGTGCAGTTGCGCGTGCTTTTTCAATAATTCAATGGCATAGTGTGACCTTGAAAATGATTATCAATCACTGGGTGGAACAGTGCTGTCCTTACCAGATGCTTAAACCGCTAGAATTGTCTTGGTGTTATGCATCTGCGTATTGAAATTCAATATCATTACCGCATGTACGCCGAATGCAACCGAGGTGAAGGTGATTTGAGGTTTTTTTGTCGATAACATCTCGTTTGAATAGTTCTGTAGACTCATCATTGACAATTGAATGGTAAATCAAACCGATTGATTTATGAATTTTGTATTATTTTCCCTTTCTACGGATTTCTCAAGGCCCAACGACACTTGCTTCTCGATTTCATCGATAATCGATTAATATCTATCGGACGACGGGATCAATTAGTTGAAAATGAAAAATCATCAACAAAAAACCATCATTCCGCGATATCTTCGGACCTAACGAAGCGAATTGATTGAGTCAGGGTTGATTTTCAAGGTCTTGGAAAGATCCAGAGGTTGTCCGAAAGTGCACGATTTGCACTCACCTCATCCCGAGATATCGTCGGTTAATCTGTTGATTTCGATATTATTTCGATTTATTTTTTGTGGTGGCGAATTAATCTGTTTTCTGTCGACTTTTACGTCAAACCGGCACATCCGTTAACGTAGGACGAGGGGAAAACTGGACCCTGTCGTCCCATTTCTCTTTTTTTTTTATATTCCATTACATGGAACGTCTCCACAACGAGTTTAGGTACAACAGTGGATTTATCCCCTCAGGCTGCGTGCCACTCGGCTTCTCTATAAATGGTTGGCATCTCGACCAAGGGACAGAATTTCTTTCCATCCACCTGAGTTAACCCCATTTATTCTCATCTTATCGGACCCACAATTCTCCCACTGTTTTTTTTACCCTCCAAACTTTGTCATTCCTCTGAAGACTCGCTACTGGGCAAAAGAGAAATTTATCAGGAGAGAAATTCAGCAAAAATTGATGCTCTCAGTGATAAATAAATCCCAGATTATCTTGGCTATCACTCACATTTTCAAAATCACTGCTGTCATCAATTTTCAATATCCCGAAAATTTCGAATAAAAGCCTCAGGGTCGCAACAGTGATTCACATCATTGCACCTGAAGGTAGAGAACAACTGGGTCAGTGATAGTACACCAATGCAGCATTGCAACGACAAATAGCTTTCAGATCCGACTGAGTTTGATAGGAAAACCCCTGGATGCTGTTGGCACGTGGCCACAAATAGGCATCAACTCCACAATCTACTGAAATTCGGATTCTGGCCATTCTCACCGAAAATATCGGATTATACGGTAGAAGTTAGAATTTGCCCCGAGCCAATGTCCATCAAACTGATGAAGTGGAAATCATCCCGAGTTACTCAATTGTTAATTATCGTCTGTGTATCAAATCATGAACTCGATGCTAATCATTTATCGTATTGACTGAACAGTGAAGGATATTATCGATTTTTTTCTATCGCTAAGGGGCGTATTTAGTGGGAAAAAACGTTTTTTCAAAAACGTTTTTGAAAATTTTTTTGTTGAAAACTACTGCATCAAATGAAAAAAAAATTTTTTGAATGAGTCATTCTTTAAAAACTAGAAGGTGTTAGTTATAAAATAATACAGAGTTATGAAAAAGTAAATAATTTATCAAAATAGCAGTTTCGGAAAAAAGTTAGGAATTTCACTGATGACTCGTTACGTCGTAATTTCTTGAAGCAGAAGTTAATTTACTGGTGTCGCAATCGTTGCTCCATGATAAAAGTAGAGAGCTAAATTCTATCAATTTAAATAACCAAAAGGCGTGAAAAAAAAAGGAGTGATATCGATACGTAGTGAATTCGATACGGAAATAAATCACCGGTTTTATCCAGCGCGTGGAAACTCGAGCTCTCGCAGTCAGTGAACCTCGGGGCAATTTCTGTACCGGAAGTGTTGTCGAGGTATCGAGGGATAGGACTTGAATTTCACGCGGATTCGATTGATGATATAATGCGTGACAGTATTGACGGATTATTTATGAGAGGGAGCAATTTTCACTCGTGAAACTGCTGATTCGTCTGCATCTGTCTCGGAATGCTTCTTTAAATTGATAATGATTGGTGGGAATATGTCGTGTCACGTGACACATTCCACTTTACGAGAGTCATTGAGATCAGTTGAGGGTAATACGACTGATATTCATCGATTTAATACGTCCCAATGATGATTTAATCGATGAATTTCAACTCTTCTTTTCTTACTCACTAGCTTCAGTGTCGAATAACTCGAGAATGGCTGAGTGAAATTCAATTTCATTTGAGATCATTTTGAAGATCATTTTTCATCCTTCAAAATGAGATTTGACATGTTGAAATTGCATCGCTAGGTACGGAGTTATCGACTGTTCAAACAGAACTTCAATTACTGAATTTCTGTATTTAAGGATGTTCAGAAAAAAAATTGTTTCACATTTTTATTTCTTAATAAACAAATATCGATTGCAATTGATGCATCGCAATTCATATCAAGATAAACAGAATTGAAATTTGGTAATGAATAATTTTAATAACATCCTTAAATCTCGAGGATGAGTTATTGACGTTTTGGAACAATCCCTCGATAATTTCCTAACGAACTCCTGTTGTTACTCAACACCGACACGTACACGTCGGCGTCAACGACACCCACACGATTCATTACACGTTGCTGTAGGTGGATTGATGTAAATGTGTTGTCTCTGGTATAGCTGCACCTACAGTAAATTATTAGAAAGGTACCCGGACAAAAGATGCGCCTGGACACAAGGTAAACCGCATTGCCACTGAGAATTATCAGTATTGAAATTGTTCGGTTAACACAGTGAAAAATTCATAACAATTTTATTAACTCGAGTTCATTACTCCGTCCAGATGGTGATTCAATAATCAACGGATTATCCGTATGATCTCCATCTCCACAACGTTAACGTTATGATTGATGGATTAATTACTGATGTGTTGTGAGTGAATTCGTGCGTTAACTAGACACGTATTGTACCTAAAATCCCTCTGATATAGTTCACAAGCTTTTGAAACTTTAACGGTCATGACCTTTTGCCCTTCAACTTTTATTAGTTTCACCAAAAAGTCACACCCTCATGCTGGCTTGGAGCAATTTGTTCCACATTGTTTGCATGGAACCTCTGTTTCCCTTGAGGATACCCAACTCAAATGCCAAACTTTTCCAGTTCAAACATCATTGGTCCTTTATACACCTGACATTTTTCACTATTAGTCTAGATACCACGGGTAATTCACATTTTGTTTCATTTGTACTAATGAAATTGAATTAGAATCGATGCGATTTTTTTAAGTGGAAAATCTACAATCATCACATATGGGCACATGAAAAAATTTATTCCATAAATAAAATATATATAATTCAATAATAATAATAATGATGGGCATATGTTTTTTTTAAAGGGAAATATTTTGAAACATTAAGTGAAGTGATGCATAACTTGAAATCTTAAATACTCTGAACCCCTTGAGAGGGAAAAATCAAAGGATTTTCCATTGGCATCAAGCCCTGGGGTATCACCAGAGCCATCATAAAGTCGCCCTCGGCACGAGTCTATAAAAAAAACCGATTATCAATCCATTGGTCTAAAGATAAATGCCCCAGTCGTCTCGAGTTATTTCCACGTCGCCAGGAGAATAATCTTCATTTAAAATCCCATTTTTTTTTTCCCCTCCCTGCTAAATGCACCGCATACCTCATGATGTGTTCTTATTCCTGTTGCAGAAGCTACCGTCATTAGGCAGCAATAAACCGTCGCGAGACACGACAGACAACAATGCTAATAACTCAACGTCGAATAATATTCACAATGTGCCCCTGCACGATCCACTCAACACGAGTGTTCACAAGGATGCTTATGGTAAGTACACAATAATTATTCCAAAATCTATACGAGATTTCGAGGTAATAGACATTTTCATTTAACTCGGTGTAATAACAATTAACAATTTCCAATTTTATTCTCTGATTAAACATTTAATTTATCTATTTACGTTTGGTCAAACAAAAAATTAAAACTTGAACTATTTTTCGTTTTATTCTAGCATTAAAAAAACGCGAATATTCATAAACAAAATAGCTTTTTTAACTGATTTAAATTTATGAATATATCTTGATAAATATTCACACCAATCACCTCAGGTAGTTTATTAACAAATGAAATGGACTCGTATTTTTCAGTGAGTTATTGAGAATATAATGATATTCGTCTGGTTCGTCTCGGTTTACCACTTGATTCCCAAATTGTCCTTAATTCCCTCCACCATTTACCACACTTAAACTCAAGTGTTTGTTTAACCACTGATGATGCAGGACGTAGATTGCCCATGACACCGCAAGAAGCCACCAAGTACTATGGGCCACGGTTAACCGAGTACGAGCGTACAGAGATTGAAAAATACTCGGAGATCTGGTACTTGGGTCTATCGGCGTGTAAAATTCATGGTGAAGAGGGATCTGAGAACAGCGGTTACGACGATGACACCGGTAGCTACCACAAAATTCCCCACGATCATATTTCCTACAGGTAATTTAATTTTACAGCTGTGATTTATGAATAATTCTAATAATTACTCAATACTTGTCATGCAGATACGAGATACTTGAGGTTATTGGCAAGGGTAGCTTTGGCCAGGTAATTAGGGCACTTGACCACAAGACTGGACAGCACATTGCCATTAAGATCATCAGGAACAAGAAGAGATTTCATCATCAGGCACTCATTGAAGTTAGAATTCTCGATCACTTGAGGAAGAAGGATTTGGAAGTTGACTCGCAGCACAACGTCATTCACATGCTCGAGTACTTCTACTTTAGAAATCATCTGTGCATTAGTTTTGAGCTCATGAGGTGAGTATTGATGAATTCTCTTCAGGGACTACCAATGAAACTCACTAAATGAATTTGATAAATTGATCATTTGTATTTGCAGTTTTAATCTCTACGAACTCATCAAGAAGAACAACTACCAGGGATTCAGTCTCAGTCTGATTCGTCGATTGGCAAATTCCCTCATAAATTGTCTTCGACTTTTGCACCGAGAGAAGATAATCCACTGTGACTTGAAACCGGTGAGTCATTGACATTCATTCATTAACATTTTAACCCCGGTAATAGAAAAAAATGTTGAAATCACTAGCCAAGTGGTAAAGTGAAAGGAGTCGATTCGAGATATTTCTGGATTATCCATTTATCTTGAAACTGATATGCATAATTGTGAAGTAATTGCAATAATATATGAATGGCTTGCAGGAGAACATTCTCTTGAAGCAGCGTGGTAGCAGTGCTATCAAAGTCATTGATTTTGGCTCATCGTGCTACAGTCATCAGAGAGTTTACACGTACATTCAGTCGAGATTCTACAGAAGTCCAGAAGTCATATTGGGTTTACCATACGGTACACCCATTGACATGTGGAGTCTTGGATGCATTTTGGCTGAATTGTACACAGGATATCCACTGTTTCCTGGTGAAAATGAGATTGAACAACTTGCATGCATCATGGAGGTACTGGGACCTCCACCCGAGTCACTCATTGCACTGGCAACTCGACGCAGATTATTTTTCGGTAATTGTCAAAGTCTTATTTCACTGTATAATCAATCAAATCGATACCTCGAGTGTCAGTGGAAGAGGTTTTAATTACAATATCTCTGTCATTTATTCCAGATTCCAAAGGAAATCCAAGATGTGTAGTCAACAGCAAGGGAAGAAAACGACGTCCTGGCAACAAGACAGTGGCAATTGCCCTACGTTGCAATGACACATTATTTGTGGATTTCGTCAGCAGATGTCTCGAGTAAGTTCAATCCCATTTCAATTCACCAATTTCATTGATATCCAATAGTATATTAAAAATTGAAGTACAAAAAAATTGTTGACTCATTGTAAATAATTGTATTAAGACGTTAAAAATTTGAATAATTAAGACTAAAAAGAGAAAAAAATGGTTTTTGCATTTGCAGATGGGACTCGAAGAAACGAATGACCCCCGATGAGGCGATGCGCCACGAGTGGCTGAACAGCTCGTCATCCCACGCCTCATCAATGGTCTCCTCAATAGTATCGTCAATGATCAACTCAGCTGTTGAGCCAACGAATCAAACGAGTCACGCTCAATCAGTCAACGTATCATCACGTCCACGTGCAACAACACTGGAGGATCCACAGCAGCAGTACAGCCTCTATCGTCTATATCGTGGTCGCAAGTGCGTGTCAAAGATAACAGCAATAGACAGCGGTGATAATGGCACAATGGTGGTTAAAGGTAAATTAAATGGTAGTGCAAGTAGTCATGCATTGACATCTGGTACACAGCCAGCTGCATCGAGGCATGCATCAACTGGTGACATTGTTGCTAGTCTTGATCCAAATCTCGATGATTCTGGTACATTTTTGCCACCGATATTGTGAGCTAAAGCCACTAAATCCAGTGTCAGCCACTTTTGAATTACGACTCATTTATTGGCTTTTTTTTACCCCTCTTTATCGAATTAATTTGTTAATAATCAATGCTTGCGTCGGGACCACGATGAGCCCGTGATAAATTCGTGTGTGTTTCACTGAATTTCTGAGACAGCTCAATCCCCACGATATGTCAGTGCGAGAAATTAAACGAGGGGGTAATCGAGGCCAACTGAGAGTAAGGGTGAATGATTATCGTGAGAAAAATTGAAATTGAAAGTAAATATTGACGTGGAGATGCCTAAAATCAAGATCTAGAGACCAAAGGGCTCCCGGGGATGAGGTGAATCGATGATTAATGAAAAATTATTATCACCTTTGACGATTTAATTAAGACTGCTAGGTGAAATAACCACGGGAATAAAAATCGTGAGGATAACAATCGAGTCATCAGTTCGAGGGCCCTAAATTACTGATTGAGGGATTTTTTTTTTAAGGGGGAGATAGAGAGAATTTACCCCAGTTACACAAGGCCTGAGTAGTCTTATTGTGATATTAAACTACCACTGTCTTACTTAGATCTCCGATAATAAGAATTAACAGTTAATCGTAATTAATGAATTATTTGATTTCTCTCCGCTATTAACTTTCTACTGTTGTTATAGTTATCTTTTTTTTT